GGGTACCATAGCCCCTAATAGGGGCTGGAACTGGTAGCTTTGATTCCTACCATCTGGGTACCATAGCCCCTAATAGGGGCTGGAACTGGTAGCTTTGATTCCTACCATCTAGGTACCATAGCCCCTAATAAGGGCTGGAACTGGTAGCTTTGATCCCTACCATCTGGGTACCATAGCCCTTAATAGGGGCTGGAACTGGTAGCTTTGATTCCTACCATCTGGGTACCATAGCCCCTAATAGGGGCTGGAACTGGTAGCTTTGATTCCTACCATCTGGGTAGCATGGCCCCTAATAGGGGCTGGAACTGGTAGCTTTCATCCCTACCATCTGGGTACCATAGCCCCTAATAGGGGCTGGAACTGATAGTTTTGATCCCTACCATCTGGGTACCATAGCCCCTAATAGGGGCTGGAACTGATAGCTTTGATTCCTACCATCTAGGTAGCATGGCCCCTAAAAGGGGCTGGAACTGGTAGCTTTCATCCCTACCATCTGGGTACCATAGCCCCTAATAAGGGCTGGAACTGATAGCTTTGATTCCTACCATCTAGGTAGCATAGCCCTTATTAGAGGCTGAAACTGGTAGCTTTGATCCCTACCATCTGGGTAGCATAGCCCCTAATAAGGGCTGGAACTGATAGCTTTCATCCCTACCATCTAGGTAGCATAGCCCACAATAGAGGCTGGAACTGATAGCTTTCATCCCTACCATCTGGGTACCATAGCCCTTAATAGGGGCTGAAACTGGTTGCTTTGATCCCTACCATCTGGGTAGCATAGCCCACAATAGAGGCTGAAACTGGTAGCTTTGATCCCTACCATCCGGGTAGCATAGCCCACAATAGAGGCTGAAACTGGTAGCTTTGATCCCTACCATCTGGGTAGCATAGCCCACAATAGAGGCTGGAACTGATAGCTTTCATCCCTACCATCTGGGTACCATAGCCCTTAATAGGGGCTGGAACTGGTAGCTTTGATTCCTACCATCTGGGTACCATAGCCCTTAATAGGGGCTGGAACTGGTAGCTTTGATCCCTACCATCTGAGTACCATAGCCCCTAATAGGGGCTGGAACTGGTAACTTTGATCCCTACCATCTGGGTAGCATGGCCCCTAATAGGGGCTGGAACTGGTAGCTTTGATTCCTACCATCTGGGTACCATAGCCCTTAATAGGGGCTGGAACTGGTAGCTTTGATTCCTACCATCTGGGTACCATAGCCCCTATTAGGGGCTGGAACTGGTAGCTTTGATTCCTACCATCTGGGTACCATAGCCCCTAATAGGGGCTCGAACTGGTAACTTTGATCCCTACCATCTGGGTAGCATGGCCTCTAATAGGGGCTGAAACTGGTAGCTTTGATTCCTACCATCTGGGTACCATAGCCCCTAATAGGGGCTGAAACTGGTAGCTTTGATTCCTACCATCTGGGTACCATAGACCTTAAAGGGGCTGAAACTGGTAGCTTTGATTCCTACCATCTGGGTACCATAGCCCTTAATAGGGGCTGAAACTGATAGCTTTGATTCCTACCATCTAGGTAGCATGGCCCCTAATAGGGGCTGGAACTGGTAGCTTTGATCCCTACCATCTGGGTACCATAGCCCCTAATAGGGGCTGGAACTGATAGCTTTGATTCCTACCATCTAGGTAGCATGGCCCCTAATAGGGTCTGGAACTGATAGCTTTGATTCCTACCATCTAGGTAGCATGGCCCCTAATAGGGGCTGGAACTGGTAGCTTTGATCCCTACCATCTGGGTACCATAGCCCCTAATAGGGGCTGGAACTGATAGCTTTGATTCCTACCATCTAGGTAGCATGGCCCCTAATAGGGGCTGGAACTGGTAGCTTTGATCCCTACCATCTGGGTACCATAGCCCCTAATAGGGGCTGGAACTGATAGCTTTGATTCCTACCATCTAGGTAGCATTGCCCCTAATAGGGGCTGGAACTGGTAGCATTCATCCCTACCATCTGAGTACCATAGCCCCTAATAAGGGCTGGAACTGATAGCTTTGATTCCTACCATCTAGGTAGCATAGCCCACAATAGAGGCTGAAACTGGTAGCTTTGATCCCTACCATCTGGGTAGCATAGCCCCTAATAGGGGCTGGAACTGATAGCTTTCATCCCTACCATCTGGGTAGCATAGCCCACAATAGAGGCTGGAACTGATAGCATTCATCCCTACCATCTGGGTACCATAGCCCTTAATAGGGGCTGAAACTGGTAGCTTTGATTTCTACCATCTGGTTACCATAGCCCCTAATAGGGGCTGGTACTGGTAGCTTTGATCCCTATCATCTGGGTAGCATAGCCCACAATAGAGGCTGGAACTGATAGCTTTCATCCCTACCATCTGGGTACCATAGCCCTTAATAGGGGCTGAAACTGGTAGCTTTGATCCCTACCATCTGAGGAGCATAGCCCACAATAGGGGCTGGACTTTTCTTCCATCCAAGGAATAATACAAAGACAGATTTCTTTGAAAAATATCATTAAATATTTAATATCTTAAAAAAGGGTGTACAAAATACTGATTTTAACAAAACAAAATACTCAAAATAGTTATATGTTTCATTCATGAAACCTATGTTTTGTTTTGTTTGTTGTTTAACGCCACACTCAGCAATATTCCAGCTATATGACGGCGGTCTGTAAATAATCTAGTCTGGACCAGACAATCCAGTGATTGACATCATGAGATTTGATCCACCTAATTTGGATTGATGACATGCATCAACCACGTCAGCAAGGCTGAATACCCGATCCTGTTAGTCGCCTCTTACAACAATTGAGTGAGATAGCATGGTTTTACGCCGCTTTTAGCAATATCACAGCGGGGGACACCAGAAATTGGCTTCACACATCGTACCCATGTCAGGAATCAAACCCGGGTCAACAGCGTGACGAGCAAACGCTTTAACCACTAGGCTACCCGACCGCCCCTCTTACAACAAGGGGTTGCTGAAGACCTATTCTCACCCAGATCTTCACAGGTCTGATTGTTTTTTGGTTTTTTTTGTTTAACGCCACACTCAGCAATATTCCAGCTATATGACTGCAGTCTGTAAATAATCGAGTCTACGCAATTGGGATGATGACATGCATCAACCAAGTCAGTGAGCCTGACCACCCAATCCCGTTAGTCGCCTCTTACGGCAAACATGGGTTGCTGAAGACCCATTCTAACCCTGATCTTCACGGGTCCATAGGTCTGAAGCCTATGTACAAGATCCATAAAACCTGCTTAAAAATACTAATAAATAAAAAAGGAATGAAGATACACAATAGAGATAGAGCATCAATATTGCAGAAAACATAAAATGTAACTCAGGTGTCATTATTGACTCTGTACCGCCATTCATTGGGAGCCGCTCTATACCCCAACGGTTTCTATAACCAGGTCTAATTTTAGACATTGCATAGGTAACTGTAGCCTATTGAAGAAAGCACTGTCTTCTCTGTCCTATAGATCTGTCGTTACTGCAAGCACGCACACAGTTGTTTGGAAAAGGAGGGGTGCATTTTGTGACTTGGCAAATTGGTTCAGTAATCATATAATTTTGTTGAAAATATACAACCAAATAAAATAGTCAAAATGTTGTTAAACATTTACTATTAGTATACCCAATCAACTATAAAATTTCAAATTTTAGACCTATGCTTAAAAAAGGGTGTGTGGTGCTCACCCTGTGAAAACCCCTTGGTATCTGTGTTAGATGTGTGGCTAATAGATTAATTCCTCAGTGTTTTACACGACTTACACATCCCATATGCATACCATATTTTGCTCTAATATGCGCCCACCGCGATATTTGCTAATACATTGGCTAGTAAACAAATCCCAATTATAACCCCTTCCAATTGATCAATGTACACAAGACTTATTTATTCGTGTATAATACGCACTCGTGTGTTATATGCACCTTTAAGTATGGGCAATCAAATTCTGGAATATATATCTGTTGTGTATGATACGCACCGACGTTTCCTTTGTATCATTTCAGGCTGTCAGCATCAACCACAAAATTTACAATCTTTCAACTCTTTTTTTTTTCTCACCAAAATTATATTCTAAAAAGAGCCCCCTATTTCTAATTTTGAGAGCGATCTGGGGGCTTATTACGTCGAATACGGTATATTCATTGAGAATTGACCCGAATAATCTACATTACAAGTCCTGGGGATGCTGAAAACTATGTCTGTTTCAAATTTCAATCGTTACATTTATCAAAACTGAAGATTGCATGCAAGATTTTATAAACTAACATACTTTTCTATTCTTTCCAGAAAATATTGAAATCCCCATCTATAATATATAGGCCACAGGCTTCTGAGAAAATGACATCAGTAAAATTCTTAGAAATGATTATCAATCAATTGAAGTGTGTGGCACACATCACCAGTCTGGGACCCAAATGTTTATGTCTAGGATCCCACAATTCCACACTGACAGTGGCCACGACACAGTGCAGACACAAGCCTACTTGCCTGCTTCTAATATCAGCTTAAATATACAGGGAGGTAAAATACGTGTATCACAGACAATCGACCCCAACATGAACAGACGACCATATGTGTCTATATTCTTGGGGAACAGTATCATCGATCGTTGCCACAGCGGCTTGTAACACAAACATTATCAGCTATAAGCTGCTGATACGATATTGTCATAGACAGTGTCGGTGACACTCGTTGTCAACATGTTTATCTTGAAGGCTATAGCTGGTAAATTTTGCGTCACAAGACCCTGTCCTGCCTTTGTAAATGCGTTGGTCGTTACAGGGTACTCGTCAGCAGAGACCATGGTCTCTGTCGTCAGCAATAGTACTCGTATTTCGTCGTCTAATAGAGGAAAGCGCTGGAGTGTTCAGCTAGGATTAACGGATTAACTCACCGTACGATAACACGATCGGATTAGTATATAAGCACTGACAACCGTTCTTACTGCCATACGACAGTGTGGACAAAACGAATATATGATCAATTCTCACCTGTTTCGTAACCGACTTCCTTGTTCTGTCTTCGACTGAGTGTCAGATCCTTAAACGTTCAGTACATCCGAGATCTGTGCCGTATGAAGTGAGCGATGGGCGTGGCTACCAGCACGTGAGCAACCAACACGTGACGTTGTATTGTTACTATGTACACATCAATATAGAATACCAAACGAGCTCCCGTGTAATACCAATTTTATGAAACGAGTGAATAGTTCTGGTATCTGACGAGCGAAAGCGAGTCAGATACCACAACTATTCACGAGTTTCATAACATTGGTTTTACACGAGAGCGAGTTTAGTATTTTATTGAGTAGGGGAAGGCTCCTATGTGCCGTGTGCCGGGAGCCACAAGGAAGTGCCAGTAAGCGTGAACCCAGGGGAGAGTTAAGTTACATAGACTGGCGGCAAGCCTCCCTCGCCAGATCCTTTATTACGAGGCTGTAGAAATACGGGACGCCCCTCACTCACATCTGTCTCCAGAACTCTCACGCCGACTTCTTGAGATAATTAAAATATTTTTTCAATGTTCTGCACTTTTTAATATAAAAATGTATTTAGTGTTTGTCAGAAAAGTTTGTTACATAGTTTACTTAATCAATTCTGGTTTATTTACGGTAGACGAATTTATATGACCATAGTGTTATTGCCAAACCCTTCAGTCAATTCTAATTGATCCAGACTGCACAATATCAGGGGAAATCATCATTACAGAAGAAGAAGAAGAAGAAGAAAATTATTTTATTATAGTGCCACCTGGTGTTTAAAAACAGTAAAAAACATTACACGTATACATACGTATGATTGCACTTAAAATCATTAAATTATCCATTATATAAATTGGCAAGAATAATACACGAACATAATCGAAAGTACACACACACGCACGCACGCACGCACGCACGCACGCACGCACCCACGCACGCACACACACACATAAATATTACACGCATTTCATTTTCAATCACACATGCAGTGTACCACATCCACTCAATATCACGTGCGCATACATCACATACAAACACTACCCACATACTCATCTATCATTCACAAAAACATACACATTATATACATCACTGCCCGGCACGATACATCTCTGTAGTGTTTTTGTACCGTTAACAAAGGCGAAAATATTGCATTAGTGTGTCGCATCATGTATGACGAACAATACACAATAAATTACTAAAAATACAACATCTGGCCGATTCAAATAACGGGGATTGCTGATTGTAACAACCTGTAAATACCTCCCATGGTAGGTGAGACGCCGTTTATGCTCCTGATTAGAATCGGTCGTCAGCAACCCATGCATGTCGTAAAAGGCGATTAACAGTATCGGGTTGTCAGGCTCGCTGACTTAGTTGATGTATGTCATCTTATTCCAATTGCGTAGATAGATGCTCATGATGTTAATCACTGGATTGTCTGGTGCAGGTTCGATTATTTACAGACGCCGTCATATAGCTAGAATACTGCTGAGTGCGGCGTTAAACAACAAACAAATCATCATTTATCACCATGCATTTGGTGAAGTCTACCGTAAGGACGAGCGCAGGATTCTCTGGAATGCTGAGAACACCGCAATCTATGTGTACAAAGCTTTGGAATTCCCTTTGCCGCCAACATTTGAGAGAATTACCCTATCGCATCAGCATTGCAATTGCACGTTCATCCAATGGGCTTTTGACGTTCAATGTGTATTGTGTAGTACAGTGGAATATCTGCTTCGGACTTCATTGCGTCAATGTTTTGACATCCAGGGGAAATGAACGTTTTACTTATTGTGGGGCCGAAAGTAAGTCTGATTGTTACAGAGGCCTGTGTTAGGAATATTATAGAAGTATTATTATGAATCATAGTATATTCGGCACCATTGATATCGCCTTGTATTACAAATGCTGATTAGTTAAAGTCCTGTCCCGACAGATTCCACTTTGCACGGTAATATTTGTAAATGTAATAGGTGTGAAGAAAATATGTCCATATTAGCGATAGGGTAGCTCAGTGTCTCAATCAACGCCGAAACTGTCGAGTTCGATTCCTTACATCGGGGTAATGTTTCGGTTGAAGCCCATTCCTGCAGCCCCCCGACGCCGTGATGTAGCCGTTGAAGCGTATAAAACCATACACATGCATTAAGTGCACACAAAGAACTCAAACTTTGGGGTACATGATAACAAAGAAATTTATTCATAACAGAATAATAAACACATATAATATATCCATTGTAATAAAAAAGGTGTGTTAGGTATACCTGCTTCAAATAGCTTCACCAGCAAATATTAACACACTCGGGATACTGTGACACTCAATCAACCGAGTCACCGAGTCCGACCACCCAGTCCACGTAAGTCGCCGCTTACGACAAGCACAGGTTACTTGAGGAAACGCCTACTTCTTTAGGACTCCCCATAGGGTCACATCAACATTTAAGGCCATTAATACATTTATATTTGTCATTCAACGCCGCACTCAGCAATATTCCAGCTAATGACCACGGGTCTGTAAATAATCGAGTCTACACCAGACAATCAAGTGATTGACATCGTGAGCATCGATCACGCAAATGGTATACGATGATATGCATCCCGTTAGTCGTCTTTTACTACAAGCATGGGTTGCTGAAGACCAGTACATGTACTAACCCTCGCGTTCTTGGGGTCGTGATTACATAATTAAGAGAGTATTAGATATAAACACAGAGCAAGTAGTACAAATGACACAATTATTCAAATGAACAGTTCACTCATTCACTTGCCCTAGCGACTGTCCATTACACATACGCAAGACACTGAACTGAACTTTATATACATTTGATGGCTAATGGTTGTGTTGTACAAACATATATCTACAAAATTGAAAATATGGAAAAGAGTAAACTAAGTGAAGAGCCTTTGACTTTAAGTGAAGTGATTCATGTATTAGGGGTGTTCTGTAAACGTCAGATCTGAGAATAAGTTTGTCGGCCTTTGACACAGTGCATGGGTTGCGTCTGTCTGGACTGCTTGAGTACTCAGATCAATGATGCGTGAGTAGATCTCTTGTCCCCAACAGTGATAACTCACCGGATGCCTTTTGTGTAAGTTCTATTCTATGAATGACATTGTTATAAACTTGTCACAGCTGCTGCTGCTTAATAAACCGTAAGGTGCAATATACACTGTATGTGCAACGATTAGACTTGATATGTATCCAGTTACCTGTTGCTAAATTAAGGGAATGTTTGTCTTCATCAACTTTATTCAATTCATTCAATTCATTTCCTCAATATGTCGGCGTCTTTCGGCGGTTCACAAACTCTTCCAGTGCATCTTATCTCACTTATGATACTGTCAATTTCAGAAAACGCTTTTTCTTGAAGATTTAATTTTCCTTTCTCAATAATGACAAGCCTTGCAAGGCTAGGCGATTCTTATTCACCAACCGACAGTGAATGATATCTTCTCCTCAATGTCATCTTCGAAATATTCTTCTCTTTACCCATTCCCACTTTATGACAAATAGAGAATACTAAACGAGCTCCTTTGTAATACTTATTGTATGAAACGAGTGAATAGTTCTGGTATCTCACGATCGAAAGGGAGTCCGATATAAGAAACTATTGACGAGTTTCATAAAAATGTTATTAAACAGGAGCGAGCTTAGTAATTTATTTATTACTTGCCGTTTATAACTTTTCTAAATATGTTACTGACCCACTTTTACAAATATGGAAATGTCATAGAACAAACCAGATGATGTCATACTTGGGTTTTGACTATTTGTTAGGATAGGGATAGGTGACGTCATGTTCAATAGTGACGTCATCTGGTTTGTTCTATGGCGTTTCCATATTTGTAAAAGCGGGTCAGTGACATTCGTGTTGATTGCAGTAAATGTTTCAAAACCGATATCGTTGATTCTTTTTATTTGATAACAAATTCCATCCTTTTTAGCTATTATAACGGTAACGCTATTTTCAGGGCATTATCATTTGCAGAAACCCTCGGTCTTAATGGAAGACCTCTGGCTTCTCAGGATGCTGCATCAAAAAGATGACAACACGTCACAATACCCTCTGACGTAATATGTAGAATATTGTTACAAGATCCAACCACGAAACAATGTCATGTGACGTCAGCATAGCATCAGGGTTGAGAGGGTCATTGCGTGTGCATACCCTCTCAGTGATCTATCGTCACTACACGCAATGTCGTTGAATAAGCCCAAGGATGTTGGGAGTTTTCAATATTTGTTACTGAAACTTGTTCCCGCAGTATATAAGCACGCGCTTTGGTATAATACAACGTGTTATACAGCTGTATGTTTATTAAACGGGTGATCTCTTTACGGGCGAATAAAAAAACTATATATTCCCTTGGCATATTTTGTCTTCAGTTTAAAATTGTAACTGCAGATATTTCTAAAAAGCAATTCTGACCTTTTGAACAAGTGGCGCCCGGCGTCTCCTTTTGGACTTGAAATGTTGCCATCCCTCTATAACTTGGCTTGATAAAGCTGCGTTTCTCTGCTTACCCCGAAACAAATAACATATTCTAAAATAGCAAGTGATATATTCAAGGACGAATATTGTTTTGGTATTTGCACACATTATCACAATTTGTAACAAAGTTGATTAATCTATTAATGAATGACATGGCATCTTGTAAACATATCTACATATCATTTTGTACATATCATATGTATATATCACGGTATGTTGAATATCCTGTCACTTACCCCCCACCTTTGACACAGCACATACAAGAAGACGTTTATTATCTGCAAAGAAACATAATATTATTAACGTTATTGTTCCACTTTATCACCGTTTAATAAATGTACTTCATGTGTATACAGTGGTGTACACATACCTGATCATATAGCCAGCCCACAGCCCATCTGGTCTCTTTGTCAATTTTCACTCTCATCTGGTCTTCTGTTTCTTTCGGAAGTATTGGTGCTATTGTCAGAATATCCAATTTTGATATTCGGTAGGGACCTATCGTCACTACTATTTCGTCCAATCTTCTGTCATCATTACAGATATCTTGAAACTGAAAAACATACAACAAATTATATCTATATATCAAAGATATCATTGTATCCGCCAAGTTTATATTTCCTTTATATATTGTAAGTGTACTTAGTTATAGGTTACAAGTAACAGTTACAGTTAAACCGCCCTGTAATAACAAACATTATTACATGACTCTCTACCTTAAGGCAGTTCGCCCTGTATCGTAAGCATATTTTTTGTAAAGACGAAAATATCAATATGTTTCATCACACTCACCACATCCTCCGCCGGCAATGGTGATGAATCTGCTTGCGCGGTGGAACATTCCACTTGTCCTAAAATAACAATGACGGATTGTTTCGGCAACAGCTTGCTAAAATGACATATACGTCATGTATTACTTTTTTTATTACTTGTACTTATATACATTGCAAGTGATTCCATGGCATTTCATTGACTAACCAAGGAATTTTAGGCGGAAACAATTACCGAAAAATATTTAGGTCACTAACGAACAACTGTGTTATGATTGGCTTATGAAGTGTGTGCGCTGTTTTAGCTCGAAATGTTTGCTACAGTTGTGTGTTTAATGAACAGACTGTGAAGTTACTATCGTTGACGTACTTATTTATGCTTATGTACACAGTGTGCAAACCGGTTTTTATCTTTATACCAACATAAAAGCAAAAGATATATATTGAAGTTAATTCTTAAATGTAACACGTCAACGACAGCGATTAACCAGTCTCGATAATCTGACGAAACAGATTCCACTGGGCGTAAAAGGCTCAATAGTGGTGATAGTTAAAGGAAATATTCCGCGTTGTATGCGGTTGTGAAAAAAAATATACTTTGTATTTTTAATTAGAATAAGTCGCCAGCGCTTGTCTTAAGAGACGACTAAAATGTATCGGATGATAACACTTATTATGCCAACCACTGGCCCAGGTTCTTGAATTAGAAGAATTGATATAGAAGAACTGTTGGTGAAAGCAAATGTGTGGCAAAAGTGGGTACTTATTTCATATTTGATCTTTTAGTTACTTATATATGAAACCCGTATGAATGAAAATATTGAATATAGAATACTTACCAGCACGTTGGAAATCCAGACTTTGATAATGTGCTTCATGATAGTGACCTAACATCATAGCCGCTCCTGGTCCACCAGATATCATTACAACATTGCTGTCGGACGCGGTTCCATCTTCGGAACTTGTGAAAACGGCAATGTCCTTTTTGAGAAACTGCGATGTTCTCTGTACTACAAGGTGATCAACGTATTCACCCGGTGTAGACATGGCCTCCAAGTAAAGGTTCCAGGTTTTGTGCCGTTGCACATCGACAAAATTGGATAGGTGTGTGCCTCCTTCCTATAGAAAACAAGTATATATAATTGACGTTACACAAGCAGGTTTGGTAGCATTTTAATTAGTAATTCATCATATATCAATTTTAGGCACACTTAGGGTGTGGGTGTAGTATTGTGGCTGAAACGTTTGCTTGTCACGCCGCAAGCCATTGTTACATTTCCCACATGAGTACCATCTATGGATCTAATTTCTGAGGTCATCAACGGTTCCATTGACCGGCTAAAACCACAATCACTCTCTGAAATTAAACACCTACATGCGCCTTAAACTCTAATCATAGCGAGGTGAGGTTGAATGGGGCGAGGAACAAGGAGCTGTCATCTATTCGCTGTGCAGAGTTACGTCCATTAACCATGTTAGAAAATACCGACCATGTACACAGCTATAGAACTGACATTATCCTCCACTTTAGTCGGCATGTTTTATGCCAGTCTTGGAACTGCCTTGTCCAGCGAAATTTCGTACCTCCACCTGAACCCCACTGAATACCTGTGTTATGAATTTGAATGATGTGCGCAGACATCCTGTATCATCTGTATTCACTTATCGAGTGTATCTGCACCCGAAGGGCAACCCCAGTACCCTCACCAGACCAATAACACGTCACAATGGTTATCTGCATGAATTCTCCATGTGATTCCTTGACAATGCTGTTTTCCATTATGTTGTTATCTGATTATGTATTATCCTTTCGAAATGTGTTCCTAGACACAGATTAATTTGAAGCCAATACTAGCCTATTATACTGTACTCGCCTAAGCATATATCAGTGGCATGCGTCTTCCATGACAGCTCGCCCTTATATAGAAGGGTTCTGTATGAGCTTACATATGCACAAATATATGGTCCGGTGTGCACTTACATAAGGATACCTCCGTAGGCTGTCAACTACTGCCATCCTTTGTCCCCTGTGGTCAAACACTGATCTGGTATCGAGGCGTTGAAGCTGATCTACAACTGCGTGGAAAAAACAGTTGCCATCTCCGGCAGTTCTCCCTCTAAAACGCAGCCCGTGTTCGGTTACCGAGGCCAGAAGTCGTTCTGATGTCCCTTGGCAAAACGTTGTCACGTTTGATGGACTAGCCTTCTGCAGTGCTTCTTGCAGTTGTTTCAAGGTAACTTTGTGATCTGTATCATACAAAAGTACAATAAAAAGTAGGCAATATGTGTGTGTGTGTGTATATATATATATATATGTGCGTGTGTGTGTGTGTGTGTGTGTGTGTGTGTGTGTGTGTGTGTGTGTGTGTGTGTGTGTGTGTGTGTGTGTGTGTGTGTGTGCGCGCGCGCACATGTGTCAATCTAGGCACGGATCGAGTCTATAGTCTGTGTGTGCATATCTTTAAATATTATGTTCACTAGGATGAGTCGTAACGAGGATATTCCATCACTGCCATACAGTCAAACACTTGTATGCAGAAACCCTAAGTTCAAGATGAAAATGCCCAAATGATCAATACTGACACTTCTCAATTCTTCGTTATAGAGAATTCCCAGGAGTTTCCCATGGGGATGTGGAAGAAGTCCGCCATTGTTTACGACAATTTCTGAAATACAGTATCATGAAGACATGCATCTAAATTTCAATGTGTGTTGTTCATACGCTTATAAACGTCAGTTTCGTGGTCATGTGACCGGCCTCTTGACATGACATGTGACTTCATGACATGTGAACTTCACATTAAAACATTATATTAATGTGTTAAAAATACATGCAGGTCAACAGATTCATCAGTGAAATGACTAATATTTGATGCCGCTGTTAGCACTATTCTAGCAATATCCCATACAGGGACATAAGACATTTGCTTCATGCATTTCCCACGTGTGAAATCGGACATTGACCATCGGGAAGAACACCGACCTCTAGGGTACCACACTGCCCAACAGATACATAAATGTTACTTACATTTGAGCGATATTTTCTTGTGCTTCTGTGCGTCTTCAGTCCTCGTCCAAAGGTCTGTTTTCCCTGTAAATATGAAAGGTCAACACCAGAACGATTATCTCGATTATCCGACGAAGCAGATTCCATTGGTTGTAAAAGGAACAATAGCCTTGAAAATTATATGAATGGATCACTGAAAAACAACAGATAAAGTTTAACATGCCATTGTAAAAGTTCAAATAAAATACAACAAGAGCCTTTATTATTTCTTGTCATCTAACTTATAATTAGACAAGGCACGTAATGGATGCTAAATCATGCTGCATGTTTAGGTACATGTATATCAACATGTTAGAAATAAATTGTATCAATTTACCTTCTTTTTCTGCTGCATTGTCCAAATCTGGAAGGTAAAATGTCACTTTGGAAATGAAATACGACGCTTGTGCGTGCTGATTGGCGTATATCGTCAAAATAATGTCAACCTATTATATTGTATTCAATTTCTTCATATGGACGGTGGAGTACCCTAGTGGTTAAAACGCTTGCTGGTCACGCTGAAGACCCGGGTTCGATTCCCACATGTGAAGCCTATTTCTGGTGTCCCTCGCCACAATATTGCTGGAATATTGATGAAAGCGGCGTAAAACCATACTCACTCACTCACTTCCCAATAAACGTCATACATGATCATGTCATAGAATGCCACTTATAAGTTCTTACCTGAAAGATGCAGGCGGCCAAACTTGTCATGACGTATTTCACCATACGAAATGTCTGTGTACAGTTTTCCTTTGATTGCTTCTGTCATTTTCCTGTTTGTATGTTCATTGTGAAAATGTAGAAGCAATCGCAGGACAAACATGTAGTTTCCCGGCGACATCGCATCTAGAAAGTAGTTGTTCCGGTTCATTTCCCTGTGCAGCTGCTCTTCAACTTGTGAATTTATTGAGCCCTTCATTTCGGGAACAAACGTTATACGCCTTAGGAGTTCCTCATCTGATTTTGTATTCCCTTCATGAAACCTATCCAGCAAACAGAACGTTTCATTTGAGGTTGGCAAATCATTGTCGGAGACTGGTGCTACTGTCACCCATTCCTTCATGCAAGGTATACTCTTTGAAAATACCCCCTCCTTAGCTTTTTTTATGTTGTCTGCAGTCGCTTCACCCAAGCGTCCTTCGTTGGGCGAGAACATGTTCTTCCGCCGCTTGTTACCATGGCGTGACATCATTGGGGCTACGTCACTAATGATGACTGGCGGTTGTCTTGACATAGATAGAATGATGTCGACATGGTCTCTGACACTTTCAGGCCTCAGAATAGCTTTGAATGCGTACACTATTCTATGGGGGCAGGACGCTGATACCCATCCACCTGAATGAACATTAACATAGTGATGGGACACATTTGGTTTAACCTTGCTTTTAATAGTATACTATATACTCCAGTAGTCAGATTGTGGAGTTTCAAGTTACAAAATGACATTCCATTAACAGACTCAGTGCTGATTCTTATGCAGAGGGGGCTGGGGATGGCCTATCTTGAAGACATTTAACGAAAATAATATTACCAAGCAAAAGCAATTGTGTTACAAAGTAAGTAGTTATTTTGCATCATTTAGTCTGGCACTTGAATGTGGGAACACACACTATATATGTTTTATTCATCATTTTAAATGCAATAGTAGGCATAATTACCAGAATGGCCCCATATGCTTGAAAATAACTTGTTGAAGGTTGATTTGCTTTTCAACTTTTCCTTCAAGCTGTTGATCATCTCTAATTTGGTCCCTTTGGCGTCTACTTCCATCTTTGTACACCAGTGCCGTACATCCAGAACCTACATGATATGATATAGAAAATGTCGAAAACATGAGTGACTATGCTTATCATATCATATCATATCATATCTCAATTTGTAATATTACTACCTACGCATATCAAGATTGCAAGAATTATACAAATGTGCCTAGTTGATATCAATAAGGCCTTTCGATTATGTCATATTTACCTTCTTTTCACATAACATTTGGATCAGGAAATCTTCAGTCAGTTCCTTATCCCCTGTATCAAAATCTGTATCTCGAAGATGGGTTCTGAGAGATCGAACTTTTTCAGCTTCAGTGTTGAAAGCATTTTCATCTTTTCTGGCTAATCCAATGAAAGGAGCCCAGTTGTCATAACTAGGTGTAACACGCCCGACGTTGGCTGCTTCTGTCAGGGAATGAAATGATAAATACATTATAGTGTATATAAACAATATCCTTACAGTAACTTTAATTTTAGTTTCCCCCCCCCCCCCCCCTCTCTCTCTCTCTCTCTCTCTCTCTCTCTCTCTCTCTCTCACTCACTCACTCTCTCTCTCTCTCTCTCTCTCTCTCACTCACTCACTCACTCTCTCTCTCTCTCTCTCTCTCTCTCTCTCTCTCTCTCTCTCACACACACACACACACACACAGACAAGATGAGTCATTTATAATACAATATGAGGATTTGCACCTTTTCCAAAACCCCGAAGTAAAATAGACGCCTCCACCGTTTGGCTCCAAAACACATCCATGTTGATTCCATCTGTAGCTGTTTCTGTCCCTGGTACTTGTGACACTGTAAGCAATACATGTTTACCATAAGAGACGAGAGAACAGGGATTAGGAAACATCATTATGGGATATTGTTTGTGATCAACCATGAGATAATGGACCTTACATTTTTGCTTTCCATTTTTACATTTTGAAACTACATCGTTAATGCGCTTATACATTTCTTAGACACTGGAAATTATAAATTAGACTTACATGCTAATGGAAATGCACATTTCCTATTTGCATCTGTCACCAGGCAACATGGAAAACGGCCACAGATGTCACAGGTAAAGTTGTACTTGTGATCGCACATTGCCTCAAAGTGCAGATATCCCTGTAACATTTTGTCTCCGGGAAAATGTAAGCCGGAATCTTCTGATAAGATATCGGCAGCCCTTCCAACGGCTGTATGATTCTGAAACCATTAAGCAGGCGAAATTGATCACATTCATTATGCCGATATTTTAAACTAATCCTAAGTTAACAGTCAAAAGTGTTTAAAGTCCGAATGTCACCGGCCCACATCAAGTGCATATATCAACAAACAATGCGCCATACAACAATCAGATATCACGATCACATAAATATGCAAAGTGTTGTTTTGGAGAAGGGAGTCGTCCATAAACTAACTAAATTAGGTATAATGTACCTTCAAGTTAACTCTGAACCAGTGGCACAGGCGAACTGACAGGAACACGTGGTCGTCAAAATTGTGTATACCATCCCTGTGCTCTTGGTACCTGTAGAAGTGACCGCACGCTTTGCACTTCTTTATGATAACTGATTGCAAATGGTGGCACTGATAAATACCTACATTGCCCCTTGCTGCAACACCCAAAGCTAAATTGCAATTTTCATGTTCACATTGTATCTGCTGTGTGACAGTGTTCATTTGTACATGAAGTGGGTAATCTGGACCGATACTGGACTTGCTGATCATGTAGAGACCGCGGTGTTTATCAACGCATATTCCACGTTGGTATGACTTGGTTTTCACTTCATCTCGTGCATTGTGTGTCTCAATATGTCTTTTAATGTTTTTCTTAGAGATCATTGCATTGCAGACAAAACATGTCACTTTCGGAACTTGCTCTCTCTTCACTTTTTGGATTTTAGGGGACTCTGCTGAAGTTCTTTCCTCAGAAGCTGTCTGGTTTGTTGTCAGAACAAAAGGGCAAACCGTGGTCGTGAGTCGGACAAATGTGAACTTTCTCCGGAAGAGTTTACCACACGGGCAGTGGTAATGGCACCGGTCTTGTTTCGGAGTACAATCCAAAAAGCAGCTTAACACCCATAAATCTGCAAGGACACAAATACGGATTATTATACCGGACCGCCTCCGTGGTCTAGTGGTAGAACGTCCGCCCGGTGAGCGGAAGGTCCGGGGTTCGATCCCCGGCCGCGTCATACCAAGAGATGGTACTTGTTGTTAACATGTCTGGCGCTCGGCATTAAGGTGCTTAAACAAGGACTGGTCGGCTCGGAGTCAGTATGCTGTCTCTGTGTGGGGTATTCATGTTAAACTGTGGCATGGTATCTCAGTGAGCTAGCACTATAAAACGGCATCAGTCCGGACCAGTACAAGCAGCCACTCACACAAACACGAGCATGCACGTCGCTAAATAGTGCAATAATCTTCGAGGCGACGTTAAACCCCATTTTACCTCACCTCACCTCACTATTATACCAGATAAAATGGTGCGTTGGGCTTGTGAGGTTGTGTAATGGACACCGTTTTACACGTATGCGTAATGCCACGTATACGCTAGGTACATACCACGCAATATTAGATTAATAACAAACACCAATTTATACATACTCCCAACTTACACGGCATGTTGTGTGTGCTTGTGTATGTGTCCTTCCTTGACATTGTACCGCCGTGACGTTGATTCAGGACACAGTTTGCACTGGAATATGCCATCAACTTTAGCCAGTAAACTCTTACATGTGCCGAGCTCTTTTGTGTGCCATATGTCTTCATTCTGTAGACAAAGGTAGAAAGTGTAAAATCAACAAGTTTTCAAAAGAAGTCCTATTTTTCTATTGCTTGAGACTCCCGGACACTGAGTGGTGTAAAGCCACTTACATTTATGAGTACTAAATGAAACATAACGCGTCGATATCCATTATCTTCGCCGTGCATTTATGAAAACCTGTAACCAACTGAAGGTAGGGTGCTACAATGTCTAGGTTACATGGCCACTGTAGATAATAATCGTAGATTAAACGAGACTTACCTGTAAGTTGAAGGTTGATATAGATTATATGAAATAATCACAAGTAGGAGGGATCACGTGAGATAGCGAGAGCGAACCAGGCGTCAGACTTTAAAGCGTTTGAAACCCTGTAAATAGCAGGGTGGGTAACTGTATAAGTTCGGGAGGGCACGTGATCCCTCCTACTTGTGATTATTTCATATAATCTATATCAACCTTCAACTTACAGGTAAGTCTCGTTTAATCTACGATTATATTTCAACCAATCACGACGTAGATCGTGATCACGTGAGATGTTTAAAGCACAGGTGTTTCAAACAAAGAACAAATGCTGAATATAAGCTGACAGCTAGTTTAATTATAATATGCAAATATGAACAAATGAAACGTCCAAATTGGCAATCTCAAACAACCACTTGCCAGTCTATGTACTTCTACTTCCAAGTCCTTGGAATGTGACGAGTCTCCATGATTATATGTTTAATAGTTCAGCTGTTGTCGAGGATGGCCAATGCGAACGTATTGTCAGTCACTGGTTTGTTGTAGAACTTGGAGAAAGTCGCAGAACTACTCCACCCTGCCGTTTTCAGTATAGTCTGAAGCGGCACAGAATGTCGTAACGCGGCACTAGTCGACGCCATTCTTGTACTGTGTGGCGTGAACGTATTCATGTCTATGCCACTCAACTGAAGCACCTGCTTGATCCAGCGTGACACGGTATCTTTACTTACAGCCTTATGCGGCTGTGTGTAGCTAATGAAAAGCTGATTCTCACCGTTCCGCATGGGAGCTGTTCTGACAAGGTATTCCTGTAATACCCTAACGATACACAGACTACTGTTCGGCGTGTATGCCGGCAGAGTGATCTCCGCCTGATGCGACCCAGGTCTCGACTGTTTGATCAGGCTACCAACTCTGAACTTACAACAACTACTGAACAAGCTAATATCTCTAACATCTAATAGATGAACAGTTTGCAGTCTCTGCCCTGACAATAGCGCAATCAAAGTCACAGTTTTAAGTGTCAAATCTTTCAACGACAGTTCCTTCAAAGGCATCAATGTTTTTAGATAACCTAGAACAACACTGGTATCCCACGTCACTGAGTTTCTGGGCAGTGAGGGGCGAGTCTGAAAAACTCCCTTCATGAAGCGGTTAATGAGTGGATGAGATCCAATGGTGACGTTATCTGCTGATATAACACAGGACAGAGCGGATCTGGCTGTGTTAAGTGCACTGTAACCAAGGTTGTGTAACTCATAGAGTTCCGTCAGAAAATCTAACACCTCGGTCACAGATGGACACAGCGTATCAATTTCCCTTTGATTACAAAACGCAACCCATCTCTTGATGTATGTGGAGTACTGGTCTCTAGTGGATTTGCGCCAGGATTGGAGGATAACACTGGCAGCTCTGTCCGAAACTCCTCTCCGTGTAAGAGATAGCCTGATAAGGGAAACACTGCAAGTTTCATTCTGTCGAGAGAGTGTCTCGCCTCCTTGTTGTGTGGAAGGCGTAGGATCTGAGAGACTGGTGGTAGTATGACTGGTGGATGGATGAGGAGTCTGAGGAGTCTGGAGAACCATGGTTGTGTGGGCCACACTGGGGCCACTAGTAGTCCTCTGGCTTGGTCTTCTTCCACTTTCTTTATCACTGCATTCAGGATGCTGAAAGGCGGGAAAGCGTAGAAGTGAGTCTTCCATGCAAACGTAAAAGAGTCAATGGCACATGCATCTGGGTCTGGCTTCCAAGAAGCATATTTTTCAAGTCTAGTATTAAGTCTTGAGGCAAACAAATCTATGTCAGGTTTCCCAAATACCCTACATATTTCACTGAACACTTCATCAACGATGTACCACTCAGTATTGTCTTTCATTATTCTAGATTCTCGATCCGCAATCACATTGTCTTTACCCGGAACATGGCACGCACTTAACCACAAGTCTCGCTGCAGACCCCATAGCCAAGTGTCTCTTGCGAGGCTGTCAAGTGGTGGTTTCTTACCACCCATGTTGTTGATATAACTGACGGCCGTGGTATTGTCAATCATTAGTTTCACATGACAGCTGGATTCTAGGGAACAGAATGTCCGCAGTGTCAAGAAGGCCGCAAGTAACTCAAGGTAGTTTATATGTTTAACGGTTTCATCACGTGACCACCGGCCGCCGGTGGACTGTTTCCCGCGGGCCCCACCCCACCCGGTGTCTGAAGCGTCTGAGGTCAGGGTAATTACCGGAGGTGCGACACTTATCGGCTTGCTACTTGTACACACATTATCTACCCACCATTGTAGATCAGCCGTTTGATCTGTGGTGACTTCTAATACCTTGTCAAAATTGCCTTTCGCGTTTCGAAGAGCGTGTGACTTGCCGTTGTCAAGGCCTAATCGAACTCCGGGAAAGCACGCTACCATGTAACCAATCACCTCGGCTAGTTCCCGGATCGAACACAACTGTTTCTTGAGTAATGCTTCACAGGCTTGTTTCACGAACTGAGCTTTAGATGGAACTCGAGAAACGGTCATTGATGACGAGTTGATGACAAAACCAAGAAAAGTGATTTCCTGTGTAGGTGACAGTACCGATTTTTCAGGGTGTAAAACAAAGCCTAGTTTGGTGAACAAGACAGCAGTTTCCGAAACAAACGTTGAACATTCTTTCTTATCATCACCAACGATGAACGAATCATCAATGTATCCGACATTAGTATGTCCCCGTGTTCTCAGAAATGAAAACGGCACTCTAAGTAATTTTGTGAAGTATCTAGGAGCACAACTAAGTCCGTTTGGCAGAACAGTAAACTGGTATAGCTGACCTTGCCAGAAGAATTTAAGGTATTTCTGATGATTTGGATGAACAGGCACAGTGTAGTAGACATCTTTCAAATCTATCGATGCCATGTAACAGTCCTTACGCACTAATGAGATAGCAGCTGTAAGGCTCTCCATCTTGAAATGGACATAGTCTACACTTCCATTTAGTTGCTTCAGATTCAGGATAAGTCTGTATGTCCCGTTTTTCTTAAGTCTAATGAAGATTGTGGATATGTATTCACCATGTTCACGACGTGATGGAACGATAACTCCCTTAGCTAAAAGTTTAGCGATTTCTCCACCTATGATGAAATGTTCTTGGGGTGAGAAGCTAATTTCTTTGGGAATATGCGACTGGACGGGCAACGAAGTAAAGTCTATCTATGTCTGAAGATAGTTCTTGCCAGCTCTGAACGTGAAATCGTAGTCTACCCGCAACAAATACATTGTTTGGTATATTGAAAGTGCTCACCTCTCTTGGGGTACCAGTTAGTGCCTCCCCCCTTCGAATTTCTTCTTGTGGAAGGGGCGACTCCTGTCTAAAAAAACCCTTCCTCTCACCGGGTTGCCATGGTTACGGCTGGTTGCATAAGAGGGAGTCTTGTATGCAGTAAACGGCTTGTGGTAGGGCGCCGGGCGCTGCTGACTGTAGGTGAGTTGTTGAGCCAATCTGTTGGTCATACTCATTGACTTGATCGTTTCCGCCAAGTTGTCTCCAAACAGCAGGGTAGACATAGGCGTCTGAGGTGAACACAACTGCTGGAATTGCTTATTGAGATGTGGTCTGATCATTTCCCGTCGGCGGTAGTTTAGCTCTGTGTTCACGTGAGCGAGCAGACTAATGGCATCAGTGGCCTGTTTCGCCAGTTGTTTGATGTCTAATTGCTGCACTGACATTTCCTTGTTCTTAACTTTTAGCAGGTCGCTGGCCAGGTGTAGCAATGGCACAGCTGCCCTAAGGACAGGAGCTTGGAGTTTCTGCATCTTTATGTCATTTGACCGTTCTTGTGATTTGAGCTTAGTCCAGATTTCTGGGTTGACTTTGCTCGTTTTCACCAACTCACAGTTGTGGGGAGACTTGTAAACTGAAAGTTTCTCTTTCAACTTTTCGTCAGGCATTTTCTTGAACATCATATTGTTCATTGCCTCTGCCAACTTTGGTTGTATAGGTGGGCCTAAGAGATCTTCGTTGGTATAATCCTGAAGCAGGGAGTCTAAGATATCACTACTTTCATCCATTTGCGTGGAGTCATCCGCTGTTCCCAGAGCACCTGCAGCCTCTTCAGCTGCCACCGCGCTAGAGTCGGCATCATCAAAGAGG